TCCACCTACTGCCATTATTTCAGTTTTACTGTCGTTTAACTTCAACATGTCCGTTGACATCCACTGTTTGATCTCAGCAAGTAGAGTTTCCATCTTGTACTTTGTCATAAAACACTTTCCCTCAAAAACGTGATATAAAGTTGGCAGTCATCTGCATAAGCATGGAATGTGATACCATGACTACGAGCAATATCACCAAGTGGGACCAAATACATTATGAACAGTTTTGGACCTAAGAGACTGACCCTTGGGGCACCCCAAAGTTTAAGGCCTTAGAATCAGAGAGTATTCTGTCAATGGCAACCCTCAGCTTCCTTCCATCTAGATAGGATTTGATCCAGTGAAGGCATCTACCAATAATTCCAAAACAATGTGCTAGTCTTGCTAGTAGTATCTGATGGTTGATCATATCGAAAGCCGCATATAAAATTATCAAGACAATCAAGACAAGCAACAGGAAAGAGTTAATCATTAGTGCAAATATTTCCTTGTGTATTCATTACACACAGAGTTGCTGTAAGTATTACAGAAGTTCCACTTTCTATCTGATTAAAAAAATAATCAACTTATATATAAGGTTAAATATACATACTTTGGTTTGAACTTCTATATCATATGCAGCCTTCTTCAACTCATAATCCCTTTTAGCTTTAGCAATCTCTGTATCATTCTCATATTTGGCCCTCTGCCTTGCCTCCTCTGCCAGAGCTTCCTATAATAACATCATAATATTAACCGATTAGCTGTAACATACAAAGTTTAATTCTCTCTCTCACTAAAGGTCTCTTTGACACTGAGGCACCTTCCTTGAAAACAATTTTATGAACAAAAGTTTTAACCTTAATTCCAGAGTCCCTCTTTGCTTCAGCCTCACCGATTCTTGCATCTCTCTTGACTTGTGCAGTCCTGGCCATACCAAGGGCTAGCAGATATCCCTGTCATAAATAAAAATCATTTAATAAATGTTTCATTAACTAACATACTCCTTTAAACACAATGCAAAAGTTAATACAAACATTGTGCCACATAGATTTTAAAGATACATAAAGGCATGCAACTGTGTGAGGCAACATAAAATCCATTGTTGGGAGTTGTTTTATGCCTTCATACTAGAGTTGTAATCCTTGAAAGATTTTACATAAGACAGTGAGAAGATACTATTTAGGTGGACTTTTAGCTCAAAATTAATTGTGTAAGTTGTTCAGCACCTTCTAATATCTACTGTTTTCAAGAAATGTGATGTAAGATTTGTCAATCATTACCAACATGCAGATCATACCTCATCATCTCGAATGTCCTTTATGGTGTAGCTTACAACACTGACTCCCATGTTGACCAAATCAGATGATGCTACCTAAAGATTGGACGATAAAAAATAAATTTACTACATGAAAGTCTTCTATGCTAACACATCATGGTAAATGCCTGAAAAAAAATTGATACAATATTGTATTCAAGAACGAAACTCCAGTGCATGGATAATATGGCATTCCACATGAGATTTTAAGACTGTTCTCTAATTTGGCATCTGTTCATTTCTAGCCAAGGAAACATTTACAAATCACAACAAGTTCAATGGAAACATAAGTTTCAGATAATGATATAGTATCAACTGTATATAGCTACATCACACTATAAGGTTGCAAAGACTAAAATGTAATATGATTGTTTTTTAAAAGTGTTGAAATATGTTTATGTAGATGACAATATTTCAAATTTTACAGCCTTGCAAAATGACGTTTTTAAAAAAGACAAGAATAAGCTGCTCTTTGTTTACCTCAAACACACTCTTAGAGAACTTCTTTCGATCTTTGTAGATTTCCTGTTTACAACAAAGCGCAAGTCAAGTCAATCCTATCAATGTTTAGTTCACCACTCATGCATCACACTGAATTAAGTGTTAAATTTATTGTATCTCATTCCAGAAAGTGAACAAAAGGTATCCCTTCTGTCAATCCTTGCACTTCAGTGCATTTTTTCAGATAATTTAACCACAGATGTAACCCTGTATTTAAATCAAACTATGTTTTTTTTGTAATGTTTCCTATATAAACAGCTTTCAAAGAACAATCAAGGTCACATTTCTTTACCTCCACTGTCATTGTACCCATGATGGCTCTTTGATGACCTTCCTATAAACCAATGATTGAATAGATCATGAGTTTTACATAACAAAGGTCTATGCCTTGTTTCAAACAAGTGCTTTAAAAAGGTTTAAGGTGGATCACAGAAATGAAGCCACTTAGTTTACTTCTATAAAATGGAAGTGGTATCAAAAAGTATGATTTCCATGTGTATCCACTCGCATATCAAATAGTGAACCCTAAAAAAGCTCTAAACTTGGATTACTGTTGGAGTCAACCACAGAAGGGATATCATCTTGAAATGGCTCCCACCAGTGCAGTGTAAACTGTTGTATTCATGTTTAAAAAGAAGGCAGACAGCATTATGTAATCTTACCAGTGTTTCCAAGGCAACAGCCCGCACTTGTTCTTGAGTTTTTCCCAAAAACTGCTGACAGGCTGCATACAGCATTTCCTGATTTTGGCCTTGAATCTTCACCTAAAACAACCAAACCCAATAAAAGAATAAATAAGCCCAGAAACAGATGTAATGATCAATTATGTATATTTCCTGTGAAAATATTGAACTCCTTACATAGGGTAGCAATGGGTGACGTTTATTTTACATGTACATGGGTTTGCTGATCCCCAGAGTTTGACAGGACAGACTGATGAAAGTTTCCTGCCTGACATGGTGTTAATCTTACTTGAGCTATTCCTGTGACTGAGATTGGCACTCCATGCCTTGTGTAAACACGCGGTGATTCCACATTCAATGTCATTGTGTTGAGAGAGATCCTATACACAGAAAATAAATATAAGAAACACAACCTTGTAATTGTTTATTCACTCCTCCTCTATTTTCAAGCATCATTTTTTCACAGCAAGTCAGCAAAAAGCCACCTCAAATTTGTCCTTTATCCATGTACTTATCCACATGAAAACTACTCCACTTCTTTGATTTAGTGTGTTTTTATTCAGCATTTTTTTTCTACAAAGCAACTCAGCACAAGTTTCAACTTAGTTAAAAGATACACTTTATTTTCCAACTGTTGATTTGAACGAGAATCATGACGTAAGTGTGCAAAACATAAAAAAGTGCCCGGTGAGCCAGCACTGATATTGACATCTATGAGTTTTGCTTGATGTAAACAAAGTTACAGTAGCTGGTAAGTGGCTTTTTCCAAAAAAAAGAGAAAGTCTTAAAAAAAAGGTTACAGATTTCAACTCTGGAAAACATTGGAGTGAACTGAATTTATCCTACATTCTTTTCAATTTCATCAAAAATGCCATAGTCATGACAAGAATGTCGAACTACGCATAGCTGGAAATGACATCTGAAAGGAATTGAACTATATAAAAAATGAAATGGTGATTCTTACTTTTGTAGCTTTTGAATAAAGGGCCATACGAATATTCGGCCACCAGAGACTAATGCTGATTTACGGTGACAAACCCCTGAAGAAGGAACGGAGAAATATCATCTCAAAGTTACAGAAACGTGATTAATTTTCGCGATCATTGTTGCTCGAACGTAAGGAAACACCTGCATGATACTCGATTAAATGTTACGCTTTTGACAACGTGGATTTTGTTAAAAAGGCACAAAAAATAATAATTGTAATGCTATTAAAATACCTGAAACAACCATGGCCTCATTTGGCCCACAAGTTTCGAAGAACACCATTTCGAAGTTTTGACCTACGCAGCGAAAGTTCTCCGTTCCTTGAGCACAACAATATGGCGACGAAATCACGTGACTTAGACGGCTACGCCTCCTTTCCTCAGTCGATAAGTAGCCGAGCAAGTCAATAATAGATCGCTGCGAGCCCTTCCCCATGCATTGACTTCGGGTCCACCCCGCGGTTTGATACCACGTGCCCTTCATTTCGGTGTTCTCTCTGTTCGTTTACTCGAGGTAAGATGGCGGCCAATTTTACGAAGGAAGAATTATTTAAATTATCTACTAACAAAGACTTTGCTTTTAAAACCCTGATCGATTATATTAAATACTGGTTATTTCCTTTGATACGGGAAAGATAACTAAATAAAATAAGTGAGTAAAGTTTTACTTTTGTGAGGGATCGTTTATCAGGGCTTTCAGAATTCACTTTCCTGACAACAATTTCCTCTGATCTAGATGTTCGTGGCCACTAATTTAAGCTTATTTTATTCTTCTTTCGATTCTATCGCCCTTCGAGTAGTTTCAAAACGATTGAATGGGGAACGAACTGTTCTTAACGTGGCGGTATCCTGAAATGTTTGTACACTAAGCTTATTTGTAAAGTTATTAGTCTCCTCATTCTTGCAGCGTGTAAGCTTCTTTCTTCTTTTTGTTCTTGACTACGATTGATGTCGAGTTTTTCTTGCGTGATCCAAGACGCAGGCACAATCCAAGCACAAGCACGAAACATAACTTTCCTTCATTAACTTCTTATTACAAGCAGTCAAGGAATAAACAATAGAAGTAAAAGAGTACCTTTGATAAGCCCCTGCTTCGGGTTGTACTTACGTCGTGGCTGTAATTTCCAGTGAACAGAGTTGATAAATTATGCTCATATTTACTCTGTTACTCACATTAACATCAGGCCTCAAATTGTTGTCCTTATCTGTGATAAAAGTATCAAAGCATGTAGGAGCTTATGGGCTCGTAAGGCGGCACAAACTTAAGGCAGACTGTTGAAACATCACTAATAGAATAGAAGACAGGCAAGGATTTCAGTGGGAAATTAGATATACTCGAGACACCTTGCTGCTTGTGCTGCTTGTGCTGCTTGTGCCTATGCATTACTAGGGGCCAGGGCAAAGAGGAGTTTCATGAGTCAAATGAATTGATTCAATAACCAAAATGATTCCTTCAGTTAAGTCCATCTCGCCGCCTAGTTCATGTGACATCACCTAGCAAATGCTGTTTGATTGAACATCAAATTCTCCCTTACATTTTACTAGGAAATGCTAGACAAGTTGGGAGAAGAATTTAACAGTAGTGAAATTCTCTTGTTCTTTGTTAGTGTCATCATGTCTGAGGACTGGGGTGCCGCTGATGATGCTGCGCCAGTAGTAGTTGCACCTGAAGTGCAGGACATTAAACTCTTTGGAAAATGGAGCACTGATGATGTGCAAGTCAGTGACATCAGTTTAACTGTAAGTGTGTTATTTCCTTTTGCTGTCTGCCAATGGTTGATCAGCTGTTTGCTTTGTCAGTGGCTTGGGGGCTTATTTATCAAGGAAAACTTATAATTTTTGAGAATAAAACCTCCTGGCTTGTGTTTAAATGCAATTAAGGATGGTTTAAATTAGTGCTGCTTTATACTTGTGTGGTTGGTTCACATCGTTTAAAGTTGTGGTTTTCAACTCAATATAATAGAAACAGGCCAGCTTTTAAAGCTGCCACTTCACATTCTTGGCCTCTTGGGATGTACCAGTTAGTGTTCTGTATGCAAGAATTAAAATCAGGGATGCAAGTCAATCACTGAAGGTTGCATTGAATCAAGCTTTCAACTTGATAGGTTTGGTGTAATTTTGCTTTTTTTTCTCTCACAATGATCAGGATTATATTGCAGTTAAAGAGAAGTATGCCACATATCTTCCTCACACTGCTGGGCGATATGCCTCAAAAAGGTTTAGGAAGGCACAGGTAATAATTGAAAAGTATTTGTTACTATCAACAAACTAATCAAAAGCTGAAACCTGTTCTTTAAACAGAATGAAAATGACCTTGTGGCTTATTCTCACCCATGAAAATAGACGGTAGACTTAAAACCCTCAGGCCAGTTACTATGACAAGATGTTGCCATTTTTTTGTTTTTATGATCTAAGCCTTGATTTCTGTGAACAGTGGTCAAGAATTTTAATTAGCTGTTATTGAAAAAAACTTTTATTTAGTTCAAACAAGCCACTTGTATAGAAATCCTGTACAGTTATTGTTCAAAACTATGGCATTTAAATGTCAGGCTAAGTGCTTTTTCAGAGGAAAGTTTGTTCTTTGAGTCAAGGTTAAGCTGTGATCCACCTTTATGGCCTTGTTTGAAGTGAGATAATATTTTCATGGGATATCTTAGCCTTGTGAAAGCTTCATGAGCATATCGTCATGCAGTGTAACCATTTTTCTGTTAGTGTCCCATTGTGGAGCGACTTGTCAACTCTATGATGATGCATGGCCGTAACAATGGCAAGAAGTTGATGACTGTCAGAATTGTAAAGCATTCATTTGAGATCATCCATCTGTTAACAGGAGAGGTGAGGAACAACAGAGAACTATTTTCAATTTGAGCAGTCTGGAAACTATTTTATCCTGCCCTGTCAGCTGATTCTCTTGTTAGTGATAAGATCGTAAATTTCAATTACCATCATTCAAGGATGTACACTTATCCAGGTGCAAAGCTTTGTAAGGATGATGCAAACACAGAGGGAGATCTTTGGGAATTCTAAAGCTTTTGTTAGCACAAGCTGCTAGCAGGGGTTACAAGAGGCACTTCAGTTTCTCTTGGCAAAATCCATCTACTGATTTTAAATGATGCTAAAAATCTTTCTGTGTTCAGAACCTTTTTACTTTTACAGTCTCTCATTCCAGACTCATTTCACCATTTTTTCTTTCTTCCTTTGACTTCTTTTTGTACAAGGCTGAAAAAGAACACTAAAGTTGTTGAAAAATGTGTAGACCAAAGTCAGCAAACTGCAAGTTTTTAGAGTAAAACTTCCCTTTCCCTTTCCCTTTCCCTTCCCTGTAGAATCCTCTGCAGGTTTTGGTCAATGCCATCATCAACAGTGGCCCCCGTGAGGACTCCACCCGCATTGGTCGTGCTGGTACAGTGCGTCGTCAAGCTGTAGATGTGTCACCCCTGAGGCGTGTTAATCAGGCCATGTGGCTGCTCTGCACTGGTGCTCGTGAGTCAGCATTCAGGAACATCAAGTCCATTGCAGAATGTCTTGCTGATGAGCTCATCAATGCTGCCAAGGTCTGAATTGCATTAAATGCTGAGTGTTATTTAAATAAGTGTACATGTAATATGTTTTGCCAAACTAAGCCAACTGGCTTTTGACCTAAATACAAGATTTTCTTTAACCCTTAAACTCCCAAGATCTCATTAGTAATTCACCTTACTATCTGCCCAACAATTCTCATTATGTTTTGGAGAATCTGGTATCGGATTAAATAGTAATCCCACAATCAATATTTTTCTTTATTCTCATCACTTGTCTGCATGATATTGTATAGATATAGTAATGAGAAATTCTGTCTTGGTCTCTCATGGGAGTTAAAGGGTTAACTAATTTTGCTGCATTTCCAAGCCTTAATTTACCACTACAATTTTTAAAACATTACATGACGCTTTCAGTAGGTGCCCTCTCTGGCCAAGTAGATGCTAATGTTTCCAAAGGCTCGATGATTTTCTGTTGTGTCTTATACTTTTCTTTTTTTCTTTTCAGGGTTCATCAAACTCTTATGCTATTAAGAAGAAAGATGAGTTGGAACGTGTTGCCAAGTCTAACCGTTAAAATATCAAAACTGACAGCAGAACATAATAAAAATTGTTTCTGAATGGAAGACCTTGTCTCCTTCTCTGTGTTCACTGTTCAATGTAAGGTTTTCACTCAGGAGTGAAGGTTGATAGTGGAGTCTATGTCTGGTAGAGGGTAGTCTTGAAATGGAATGGTAGCAGATAGAAGTGCATCTGTACATGCAGTGTTCTTCCTTATTTTATGCATGACAAGTAAAATGAATTTTCAAACCGGTAAAGCAATCCATTTGCCTGTTGAATTTTCAAGAATTCCAAGTAATTTTAAACCGTAATCAGAGGTACTACAGGTAGTAAATGGTACCGGTTACTGCCTGAAAAGGAGAACATTGTACATGTATTCCATAGCCTCAGAGTTATCAGACTCCTGATGCATCTCAACTGAGAGAGAATGGTCCATACCTCTCACATTCTCTCCAAAAACAAATTCTGTGGTCAATAGAAGTGTCAAAATGTCAGGATGTAAGGGAAGAACACCAACTTGTCATGATAATAATGAGAGCATGTGAAAGCTCTATACTAGAAGCAAACCATTATGCAATTTAATATGGGCTCCACGATCACTAACCTCTTCACCTCATGGAGCCTAGGATGTGAATACTTTGTATGGCAGGGATCCCTTCACCGATTTGAGGAGTTAGCTTGTACTATCTCTAAAATTTGACAAAATACTTTTCCCTATGAATGTTTCATCTACTCCTCTCCATTTCTTCCTGGTTATAATTTTTTGACTTAGCATTCATCTAACAGCCCACAATGCAAGTATCAACAGGCTATCTATTTCAGTTGTTGATATGCAGCTAATACTCCCTCAGTAGAGTGATGGGACTGCCAAAAAGTTTGCATACCAAAGGCACCCTGTAATATGCAGCTAGAGATATTCAGGGCACTTGATGAAAGAAAAGGTGCTGCCATAGGAGTGCCTGAAATGTCTAATAAATACTCAGCTGTGCAGGCATGACAGTAAAATTATGAAATGTCACACTAGCTATAGAGAATAATTTCTTTCACCAACTGCTTTGTGCAATCATCTGAAGACACAGGAACTGACTTGCAAGAAGCTGGTGTGATCCCCAGATATACAGGCTAGTCTTTCAGCTGTTTGCTACCTCTGGGTAGAATTAAAGTGCTGTCTGCACAGCTATAAAATTCTCATTTGAAACGGTCAACTATTTCATAAGGGACCACCTTTAGGGCAGGGAAGGGGTGATCACATTCAAAAAAGAATGGCACAAAGAGCCAATTGAAAACACTGATTAGATCCACCAACTAATTGCAACAAAGTTCCAGTCATTAATATTAAAGCAAGCTCACTTATTCACTCTTGGTTTTTGCAAAGGAAACTGCTCTTAGAAATTAGTTCCATCTTGAGAAACTTCAAATCAGTAAAGTTTTATTATAGACAGTCACTGCAAGAGTAGCCTTTGAGTGAGAGTTGGCAATATTATTTTTCTTCACAAAGCTGTAGCAGAATTTATTTCAAATTCATGTTTTGCACATCATCTTAACTGACAATCCTATTATTGTTAAGTCTGTGAGTCTGATATCTATCAGTGATAGTGCATTTTGCTGTTTCTGTTGCAGTTTTCCATCAACCAACAGATACTTCTGCACATCTTAATAATGAGATCACCATTCCACAAGATTTATTCCACACAATGTAGTAGTGGGATGAGCAGAGAAGCTACCACGGAGGGGACAGAGCTTTATGTTACGATTCTGTTAATCTCCAGATCTTGATAGTACAATCATCAGAACATGATGCTAGGAGGCCTGGCTCCTTAGGATGCCATTTAACTCCATTAACATCCTGGGAATGTGCCTGTATTAAGAATTAAATTAAAAAACTTATGTGATTCAAAGGCAATAATCAATCACTATTAACATCGGACTGATTCAGATTAATGTCACACACACATCTTGTAAGTGCTTCTTTCCTATTGCTGCCCAAGATATTTACCATTAAGTTTATTCATTGTATGTTTAGAGAATGGCCAGATATAACTAGTTCACATGATATATCTGCAAAAAGGTATTGTCTAGAGATTTTCAGTGGAATTATCATAAGGCTTTCACAGATTTTAGCATGTTGGCAACAAAAGAGAAAGACCATGGCCAGTCCTGTTGCATCACACACCAAGAGATGGCAACAATAATATCTCTAAAGCATCAACATGTCTATCATCTGCCACTGCTTCACATTTCATCAGGAGAGCCATCCCACATGCATAGCTGTCATCTCTGAACCCCAGCTGGGAGCTACCATTTCAAGCCATGCAGCCCTTCCTTTAACCTAGCAGCATTAAATAGCACCAGAGAAAAGTAATCCAAACTTTAAGAGACAGTCTGGTCTCTAGGATAAAATTTGCAGCTGATCCAAAGTCCCCAATTGTCACACTTAGCATGGTCAAATCTGTCCATTCTTGAACCTATTCTAGCACCCCCACCCTTCTGCGATAAGAAATACAAATAATTAACAATCTTATTTTAAACAAAAGCAAGAAAGGATGATAAACACCTCTCGCTGAATTGCTACTTGCTGGAATGAAGGTTTATTCTTGTCATCAATAGTAACATCCTGTCAAAAGAAAGCATGTTCACTTAGTGATAATCTTTCAGTCAATATAACAGAAAAGCCTTAAAATACATTCAAAATGTTTATCATCTATTCCTAAGGCAAGTTACATACTAGTAATTAGTTTTCATGTTAACCAACAAAGTTATCCTCATGAAAATCCAGCATGAATTTAACAAAAAAATCCATAACCTGTTGAAATACTCTGAGACAATCATCTCCCCCTGCTGTTGCTATGACATCTTCAACAGGAGACCTGATTTTAAAAGGAAAGAGAAGAGAGAAATACTCCTGCAGCAATATAAGCACAGCATAACTGTAATCTTTATCTATCTGTGATGAAAAACTTTATTTGTTGGAAAAAAATCTTACAGAGATTTAAGAATAATCTGACTTCTGACAGTGTTCTTTGAAGTCACCAATACCAAGGGCACAGGTTTGCAAAATTAATTGGGAGGAACTAATTACTGGAATAAAAAAGGAAGCAAGGACCACAGAACACTTTCTATTTCCCTGCCCTATGCATTTTTTTCTCTTTCCTTTGAGTATTTCATTCACAAACTGTCACAAATTCCAAAGTACCAGAAAGAACCATTAATTTTTCACTCCATTGGTGAACAAATTTACACCTACCAGTGAACATCATAAATAGTTCTGTCATGATAACCAGACAACACACAAACACTCTTCCATTTTGGGTCGCTTCCATTTGTGACAACACCTGGTAGGAATTGTATTTTAACTGGGTTGAGAATTCTTAATTCAATCAAAAATGCACCTTAACAAAGCTAATTGTTAAGTAACAATTCTAGTAATACTAAAACTACGTCTAGCAATGATAATGATGATAAAAATTAGTTCTTGTAACTGACCACCCTTCTCCCAAAATGTAGACTTTTTAGGGCCAAAAAAATTAAATATTCCAAAAGAAATCAATCATTCAAATATCCCAACTGGCTGGGGAAAGACCAGTTCGTTAAATACCATGATGTTACCAGAGAAAAATTTAGGACCGAATTAAAATCTTAGTGCCAAGAACAAATCTACAGTTGGTTAAGCTATTGTTAGTAGTAAGCAGCATGGTGCAGGGCTGGAATCTGGGACCACCAGATCACAAGACAAGCACCTTTACTAACTAATCACTTGTTCTTTGTTTGTCTAAATGTAGTCATTTTTGGTATAACAACCATTTTTTTATTACTTAATAGGATATAGAAGGTAATATTTCATTACCTTCTTGATTCCCTGGTTCATAACTCTGCCATATTCTTATTGTTTTGTCATCACTGCATGAAACTGTAAAGAATATTAATAAAAAGCATTTACAGCACTGTTGTAAGGAAAATATAAAAACAGTCAAAGTAGCGTATTAATTCATCAACTTTTTTCACCAACCTAGCCTGTCACCAGTGTGATTAAAACTTATGGCCCATACTGTTGCCTCATGGCCATCCAAAGTATCAAAACAAGACCTGTTTTGAAAAGTACAAATTAAAAATAAAATACCAGGAGTGAAAGAATTAAGAAAAAACAAACATGGCTTTGACCAATGGCCTATCATGCAGCACTAGCTCTGAATAATCTTAATTTCTACCATTCAATTTTGTTACCCAATCTCAATATTTTACATGAACAAAGAAGATAAGTTTCTAAAGAAACAATGGTGCTGTTTAAATTGGGGGGGGGGGTATAACAAAATAGTGTGGTTTCATAAAGTTAGCTGATATTGTAAATTGGCTCCTCCAAAGAGTTTCTAAGCTGATGTTTCGAGCCTTAGCCCTTCCAGTCATTCACTCTGACAAAGGACTAACAATGGAAATGTCAGCTTAGAAACTCTTTACAGTGGTCAATTTACATTATTATTATCAACTCTGTTTTATAAAACTAGATTATCTCAAAATTCTTTTATTCATCCTCAATCAATAAACCCCAGAACATCAAGGCTCTGGAGAATAAAATGTAAGATTTATACAATTATTAGTGGAGGCATGGTGGCCTCATGGTTTGCGCGCTCAACTCCAGTCAAGTGGTCTGGGTTCAAGCCCTGGCCGGGGATATTTTGTTGTGTTCTTAGGCAAGACACTTTACTCTAACGGTGCTTCTCTTCACCCAGGTGTACAAATGGGTACCAGCAAACATCCTGGGGGTAATCCTGCGATGGACTAGCATCCCATCCAGGGGGGGAGTAGCAATACTCCTAGCCGCTTCATGCTAAGGAAACCAGAGTTAAGCACCTGCCCCATGGGCCTCTTAGGCCTGTATAAAGGCGTTACTTTTATGCAGTTATTAACATATATGAAGCACTATAGTTCTCTCTCTCACATTCCTTAATTTAAGAAATTTTAGATGGCTAACTAACCAATCATCATCATCTTCTTTGTAAAGTTTGACTGTGTCATCATAACTGCATGATGCCAGAATCTGTAAAGAATTGGTAATAACCAGTCATTCACA